CGTTTTCGTTCTTTTCGGGAAGCTGAGTTTGAATACCACCCCACACCCGAAACCATATAACCTACATTGGATGAGCGATGAAGGAGCTGTCCGTGTCGATAGATGAGCTAGCGTTACCTTTTCGATTTGTGGTTTCAGCGATGATGTCCTTTGTGATGTGTGTCCCATGACTGCATGCCACCTCCTTTTGGGATGACCATGGCAATTTGATAGACGTGTTTTGTACGATGGATATAAGAATCAAATATCGTTCACTAAAGGTCGCAAGAAGCTTAGCATTTCCGCCCTTCCACTCGAGACCGTCCGTCGTGATGCTGAACATTTACATAAGACCGTGCGAGATGTGGTAAAATCAAAAGGGGCTGTTGTTACCGTTTCGGTGAAACCTTCCGAGGGAGACGATAGCAAGTTGATGCTTAGTCTCAAAGAGTTCAACAAAGAAGTTCGCCAAAACAGTAACCAAGATGAGGGAAGTTACTTTTATATTCTCTTACTCAAAGAAGTACTTGTTATTGACGATAATTCTTTTTCTCACTCGTCTTCTCCTTTTGTAGACTTGCTTAAGGAGTTTGAGGATGTTTTTCCGGATGATATACCACCTGGATTACCACCATTGCGAGGCATCGAACATCGTGTTGATTTTGCACCGGGTTCATCAATCCCTAATAGGCCAGCTTATACGTGTAATCCAAAAGAAGGTGAGGAAATTCGAAGACAAGTCCAAGAGCTTCTTGATAAGGGATGGGTTCGAGAATCTTTATCTCCTTGTGCTGTACCTGTTTTACTTGTCCCTAAAAAGGATAACTCATGGCGTATGTGTGTTGATTGCAGGGCCGTCAATGCAATTACTGTGAAATACATAATCCAATCCCTAGATTGGATGATATGCTTGACGAGTTGCATGGAGCACGGTTGTTTACAAAAATTGACTTAAAGAGTGGGTACCATCAAATTCGTATGCAACCCGGAGATGAGTGGAAAATAGCTTTTAAAACTAAGTTTGGGTTGTACGAGTGGCTAGTCATGCCATTCGGGTTGACAAACGCGCCCAACACTTTCATGCGGTTGATGAACCATGTGTTGAGAGAATTTATTGGAAAGTTTTTGGTGGTATACTTTGATGACATACTTGTCTATAGTACTTGTTTGGAGGACCATCTAGGACATGTTAGGCAAGTTTTTCATGCATTAAGAAATGCTAAATTGTATGGTACGTTAAAGAAATGCATTTTCTGCACTAATGAAATTATTTTCCTTGGCTTTGTTGTAGGTGCAGAGGGTCTTAAGGTTGATGAATCTAAGGTTGTTGCAATTCGAAAATGGAAAAAATGTACAAGTGTGGCCGATGTCCGGAGGTTTCTTGGAATGTGTGGATTCTTTAGGCGATTCGTACCACATTTTAGTGTGATAGCAGCCCCATTGACCTCCCTTTTAAAGAAGAATGTTCCATTTAAGTGGGAGGCAAGTCATGAAGCATCATTTGAGAAGCTTCGGGATAGTTTAACACATGCTCTGGTTTTGGCACTACCCGATTTTGAACGAGCTTTTGAAGTCCAATGTGATGCTAGTGGAGTTGGTATAGGTGCAGTACTATTACAAGAAGGACGACCAATTGCTTATTATAGTGAGAAATTCAATGGAGCAGCCCTTAATTACTCGACATACGACAAGGAATTATATGCGGTTGTGCAAGCCCTGAGAGTTTGGCAACATTACTTACTGCCAAAAGAGTTCGTCATTCACACGGATCATGAGACCCTCAAGCATTTGCGTGGGCAGCAGCAACTCAATCAGCGTCATGCTCGGTGAGTAAGCTTTATTGAGCAATTTCCATATGTGATTAAGTATAAACAAGGGAAAGAGAACGTAGTTGCTGATGCACTCTCACGGAGGTATGCTTTACGTAATCATACTCGTACACATTTGGTTGGATTTGCACATATTCGTGAGTTGTATGAGCATGATGTAGATTTTGGTGATATATTTAGGAAGTGTGAGAAGAATGGTTTTGATGATTATTATAAGCATGATGGCTATTTGTTTCATGGTGATAAATTGTGCATTCCTAGATGTAACATTAGAGATGTTTTGATTGAGGAGAGTCATGGTAGTCATATGCTTGGACATTTTGGTAGACATGCTACATTTGATGTTCTTAGCATTCACTTTTACTGGCCTCATATGCGTAAACATGTTGATTCTTTTGTTGATAAGTGTCTTGCATGTAGAGTGGTGAAGAGTACTTTGAAGCCCCATGGTATGTATACTCCTCTTCCCACTCCGTAAGGCCCTTGGTTAGATATTTCTATGAATTTTGTTCTTGGTTTACCTCGAACACCGCGTGCTAAAGACTCAATTTTTGTTGTGGTTGATAGATTTTCCAAGATGGCTCACTTTATACCTTGTGCGAAAATAACAAATGCTAGTCATGTGGCAAAGCTTTTCTTTCGAGAGGTTGTGAAATTGCATGGGGTCCCAAAAACTATTGTATCTGACAGGGATGTAAAGTTCGTATCTTATTTTTGGAAGAGTCTTTGGCATGAAATTGGGACGCGCTTACTTTTCTCTACAACATGTCACCCCAGACTGATGGCCAAACGGAGGCGATCAATCGTACCTTAGGTAATCTTCTACGTGCCATGGTACATGATAGTGGTCGAACATGGGATGAATGCCTACCATATGTTGAATTTGCTTATAATAGGCATGTTAGTACTACTACTAAATTGTCCCCGTTTGAGGCTGTTTATGGTTTTAATCCTTTAACTCCTACCAATATGTTGCCACTACCTAGTAGCGAGCATTTGAATTTTAGTGGTAGGCATCGAGCTACATCAATCAAGAAATTACATGCCAAAGTACGGAAGAACATTGATAAGGCGGCCGCGACATACGCACGCTACGCCAATCGCGGAAGAAAACGCGTGATATTTCAACCCGGAGATTGGGTATGGGTACATTTGCGTAGAGAACGCTTTCCGGAGCTGCGGCGTGGGAAACTTTCTCCACATGGAGCTGGTCCATTTCGTGTGTTGGAGCGCATAAACGATAACGCATACCAGATCTCACTTCCGGAAGACTTGGGCGTGAATGCGACTTTCAACGTTGCCGATTTGAGCCTTTTTGATCATGCTGAAGATGCTACTTGCCTTGAGTACAAGGCAGCCGAAAATGCTACTACTAGCCTTGAGGACAAGGCAGCCAAAGGGGGAGAGGATGACACGGCTCCGGATCACCCGAACCCAAACTTAGACAGACCGATTGCAACCCGAACCCGGTCGAAGCTACTTATGTGTTGGAGGTTGTGATCCTTTTATCTTAATCAAAACGTGTGGTTTAGATTAGCTTGCCACTTAAGATGTGTGGCTTAGACTAATTTGTCATTTAGTATATATAGCCTTGTTTATTTTCTTGATGGACACACAACTTAGATGAGAACATTTTTTAGAGAGGGTTAACCTAGCTTTGGAGAGATTCCTTAGAGTTGGAGTGATTCCATCCGCCGAGAGGGCAATTCGATTGTTGAGCTTCGGATGCAATTGCGTGAGAGACGGAAGATGCATCGGCAGCCTCGGACAGTCCGTGGATTCTCAAAAGTGCTTGCTCGAGAGGAGTGATTGATTTTGAAATTCTACTTATCCTATTTCTATTTCGATTTTCGATTCAGCATTGTAAGTTCCCGAATACATATTAGATTTTTGTCTTCGAGTTTGATTCATGGAAGATGATCCTAATCCATGCCAGGAGACAATTAAAATAAGAGAGTGAAATATTACAAAAATAACTATGTTAAAAAAAACAGCAGCTTAACCGTTCATCCTGTCACATCACCCCATATTGCAACAATATTCCCTTGACACACTAATGGCTATTGGCTACACTAAATGTACTGGACGAAATAATAAAATTCTATTTCTTGATGAAATCCTGCTTTAACGACTATGGAATTAACTTGTACCGGAGCTGCAGCTATCATGCTGACTTTCTACAATACCGCCGAATTGACTCCATCGGGACGAAGTAAGGCTGCAGTAATCCTTCCCTTGCTGCCTCGTGTCCCACACAAGCATTGTCCATTTTTGGGTTTTTAAAACTTCCATTGCTACTCAGACCCATAGCTGCACCACCCTGTTATTATAGGCTACGCCGATAATGCATACTTTCTATCACCAAAGATGTAGGATGAAAAGATGACATAATCCCGCGGCATCAATCCTTTTCCTTCACAAATCTGTCCCTGCCTAGTGTGAAGACAAAGCTCTGGCTGCTTTTCCAATACCAGTTCCGGCTCTGATCATGCCAAGGAGACCTTGGGTGCTGAACTGGCTCTGAAAGTTTGGCTCCTTGGAAGTAGTGTCCATGACCAGATGTTCCAGTGGATTTGTCCACTGTGGAGTCGGATGGCAGCGCTATCATATGCCATGGCTTCAGTTTCGGATTTAAAGGTTCCTAGCCGGATGCGCTGATGGTCTACATATATCTGTGCACCCCAGTGCCCATTGACTTGGAACACCACACCTTTGAATTTGGAACACTGCAGGATGGGAACTGCTGCCGGAGTAAGATATGTCACCGGTAGACGAGCTTTTTGCTGCGGTGTTGGAAAGGAGGTTCTCAAAGTCCATGACCGGTGTTGGAAAACTTGGGCATTTTAATGCTTTTACACAAATTGCTCAAATTACTGAATCAGTAGATAATTTAATCACGAGTTTTGTGATGCCAATCAAAAACCTTCTTCCGCATGGTTGTCATGGCGCCCTTTTGCGGCGCGGCGCTAGGGGACCGCCATACCGTCATGGCGACGTGGCGCCCGCCATGGTGACAAAATGGCAAACGCGGCATACTATGTATAAAATTAAATAGATATATATAATTATAAATATCATATGCCTTCAATCATAAAAAGAAATATAATACAATAAAAAATATAATTTCAATCATCAAACAAAACAAAATACTATCCATGAATCTCTAAACCACCAATTTAATCATCTCAAATTTCAACAATCAAAGAGCTCAAGTTCACCACTACCACTAGGAATATCTTCCAAATCATCATCATCAATGTCAGCATCTAATGATACATCTTCATCGTCTAATTCTTACTCCATCAATGCCGAAGTTGACGCTTTCTTAGGACGTCTAGAGTATAATTGTATTGATGAACCCGATGTATCTCCGATATTTCTCCTTGTAGGAATATTGCGGCGTTCAAGATTGGCCGATGCACCCATAGCTTCATCAACATGACTCCATGTAAGATCCTCTCCCGAATGAACTACATCATTGGTGTCAAAAACCCACTCATTATCCCATTCAAATTCCTCCAACACCAAAGGATTGAAGTTCTTTCCTTCCTCGCGCCTCTTTTGAAATCTATTCGCAATTTTTCGATTGTATTGAACGAAAACTAAATCGTTCATTCTATTATGCTCCAATCTATTTCGTTTTTTCCTGTGAATCTAAAAAGAATAAATTATAATATATTAGTATATGACTACAATAAAAATAATGCTTAATATAATATTTATATAAGTAATTAGATACTTACAAATTCAAATGACCTCCAATTGCGTTCACACCTGGAGGACGAACAACAAAGACTAATTGTACGGAAAGCAAGTGATTGAAGCTCGAAATGAAGTCCTCCAAAAGCATTCCACCAATCAACTAAAATTGTAAAACATTAAAAAAATATATTTAGTTCGATCTATAAAGAGAAATGGAAAAATAAATAAATAAAATAGAAATTATAAAAATTAAGCACTTACGAGGACTTTTTGCCTTTTGTTTCTTAATAGCCAATTGTTTTCCGAAGCTTTCCCGCGTATTATCATAATCATCGACTTGATCACAAATCTTTGTTTGCAATTCATCATCAATGACCATTTTTTCAAGAACATCATTAAACATAGCTTGTGTCTTACGAGCATATGCATTATCACTCACCTTGAGATCCAAGTACTTGGAAGGATTAAGAAATAATGCAGCTCCATACAACTCGACTTCCATTTGATCCTCCCACCGAAAATCGATAATATGCATAACTTCTTTCAACAAATTTGGCTTTTTCTCAAAATCTTCTTTGATTTTCCTTTTAACTTCATTCATCGCTACTACAAGATCCGGCATCGCTGGCTTCTCATCCCCGTCAACGATCCTCAAAACAATTAAAAGTGGATGCGACACTTTTATACAATACTCCACACCAGTCCAAAAAGGAGAAGACAATACCGTGTTTGCTACTAATCTTCCGACATTTGTATTAGCCAATTTCGATGCAGTGCAATCTTCGCTCAAAAATAAGCTCCTCAAAGCATCCTTATGTTTATATAAGCTCTACAAAGTCAACAATGAAGTAGAAAATCGGGTAGGCCTAAGTCTCACAAGATCACTGTTGTCCGTCTTCTCCCGCATCGCATTAAGGAGCCTTACGTGCTTATAGATATAGGTAGTAACTCTTCTTGCATTGTCAATCTTTGCTCGGAAAACAGACAATTTTCCGATATCTTCCAACATAAGATCAAAACAATGAGCTGCACAAGGAGTCCAATATAAAGTGGGTATGCGCTGCTCCAATATATTACCCGCTACCTTGAAATTAGCACCATTGTCCGTTACTACCTGAACCACGTATTCTTTTCCAATTTCTTCAATTTTCTCCTGAAGTAAATCCGCCAATAGTGATACAACTTGAGCTTGACTTGATGCATCAATCGACTCCAAAAATAATGTACTTTATGGGCTATTGACGAGTAAATTAATCAAATGCCGCCCTCTTTTATCCTTCCACCCATCGGCCATAAGTGAACATCCGTATTGCTTCCAAGCAATAACATGTTTTTCCTTCAATGCTTGCGTCTTTTTTACCCCCTTCTCCAAAAGAGGAACTCGTAATTCATGATAACTTGGACCTTTTACACCCGGTCTCATATGTCCCGCTGACTCAATCATTATCTCAAAACTTCAAGACTTTGCCACATTGAATGGTATGCCATTTTCATAAAAAAAATCGGCAATATGTCCATGAAATCTTTCGATCTCCTCCTTGCTCCTTGTACACGCTTCCAATGTTCTTTGACTTCCACTACTCGTTTTGCTATGTCTTTCCTCAATGACTTCCTTTGGGGTTTTTCTAAGCATTGAAGCAACCAACTTGCTTTCTTTTCCACCTTGTGACGGCATCGATGGAAAATTTAGAACAGATTGCGAACGCTTCCTCTTGCTCAAACTACCCGAGCTAGGATAAGAAACTGAGTCGTGCGATACACCTTGCCTTGCTCCTTGAACATTCACATCAACATCGTCGTCAATGTCGTCGTCGTCATCTAATTCAACACGACTACGACTGAGCTGCTTTCCTACTGTCTTTTTCTTTAGGAACTCCTGCATCTCATTCCGGATTTCTTTGGTAGTTTTTTAACACTTCTCTACATCTCCAGAATTTCCAAGCAAGTGTTGTTTCAATCGCTTTATTCCCGATCGTACTTGCTTATGGCAAAGGGAACATTCTACCAAATATCTATTTCCCAAGTCCGGCCAAAAAGCATATTTCCAACCCGGATCATTTGACTTAGCTTTTCTTTCGGGATCTTTGGGTGGATCTATCGTCGACGCTTCACTTTCGGCCATAGCAAATTTAATCCTATAAATATTTATATATCAATATGTCAAAATAATACAAAATAAATAAAAAATTTGTTTTATAAAATGAAAAATTATAAAAAATATGTTGCAAAATAAAAATAAATAACATTATTATATTAACAAATAAAAAATATATAAATAATTAACTAAATATTATTAAAACAATAGCTAATAATATTAATATAATATATATATATTAAAAAACTAATAATAGAATAATAATATAAAAATAAATAAAAAATAAAGCATATCCATTGAGAAATTGAGATTAAGATTCCACTCACCCAAAAGCGGACCGGTGGGCGGCTTCGGTTCGGCGGATTGGAGCGTGGAGGGGAAGATTCCAGAAACGGCGCAACAAATCAGAAAATTTTTGAGAAGATCTTTATATTCAGACCGGTTCAGGTAGGGCTTGATTTCGGGTAGAAACCGGTTAAGGGTAGAATTGAGTTAGGGCTTGATTTTAGGTTTAGGGCCACACGCCGCGACGGAGAGCGCCAAAACGCCGTGGCCGCTATGGCGACACCGTGATAACCATGTTCTTCGGAGAAAGTAATTAACCTGTAATGCAGCGGCAGCTATCATGGGATCTTCTACAATACGACCACATGGAGTTCCACATTGATAGAATGTAAAACAGACCCTTAAAAAAAAAAAAAGGATTATAGTTAAGGATAGATGACCAACTAGGAAATATAGAACACCCAATTAAACAATTAGTGTTATTCCAAGATTGAATATAAGTGCAACCTACACAAGCACACACACAAGAAAAAAGTTAAATAAATAAAATCTGAGAAAATACAAGTAAACAAACCAAAGTAACCTCCTATAAATAAAAAAGAATAAAATTCAATATAAATGTAAGTAAATTAAAATATCTCATATATTTTGGGTTCTCCATGTTGAGCGGGTAGGGAGATCGTGGCACATGGTAAGGTCCCACATATTGTTACGACATCAATTAAGTTTCTTAATGCGCCCTGAAAAATATGCCAATAAATTCACTATATTACAAATGGAAGTCATATGAATGAAGTACACTTTAACCGCTATGAAAAGATAAACATATTATGGACCATCATTGTCAAAGCAAACAATCAATGTAGTTCATTTATGTAGCTAGAGTATTGTGATTTATGGTCAGTGCAACAATCTACAGCTTCACAACGCTTGGCATAACATTGTACGATACATATATAAATGCTTATAATGCAAGAAAATCATACAAAAGTAAATAAAAACACATGCAATCTCAAGAGTTGGAATATCAGAAATTATCAGTATGTTAGAAATATATGACCTCTCCTTCATCGACTGTGAGAATATACAGTTTGAAGTTCTTGGAATTGGAAGAACCTGCAATCACAATTTGTCAGGATTGGTGTTTAAAGGTTCAAACAAATTCTTATAAGTAGATCACAATAAAAAATGCAGAGCGATAATAAAAATCCTTGGATGATTAGATCTATGCTTTCCATTGAATAATATTAATTACCTCAGGAGTTGAGCATCGTAGGGTAGGAGGTCGATCCACCCACTCCAGAGAAAGGGAATATAATTCTCATCATCTCACGAACTCCAACCATCGTTTGAAAAAAGAAAAACAACGATAAAAGAATATAACATCCTCCTTAGTACTTTCAGAGCTAATCCATCTGACACTATAGATCCACTGGGCAGATATTGAAGAAGAGTTTCCTCCGGCATCAAGCAAGTGGCCAGAACCGCCAGACAGAACGACTGTGCGTTTGGGTATTTATAACCAGAGTGAACCCTAGGGTTTGGTGCCACTGCAACAACTCAAGGCGGCGCCCAACAAAACTTTCTCAGCTCACCCGATCCTTTCTACACATCAATCAGCTCCGCTCACTTTCATTGTTTTACTTACTAATAGTTTTACTGCTTTTCATGACTTAAAAAATCGGGCCTTAGGTATAAAAGAGTATCAATGTATCATAATCTAATTTACAGATAAAATCTAATTTAAATCTATATATACTAAGGAGAAGTTTACTTTGAAAATGATTGCATTATAATATTAACAATTATTTCAATAGATTAAATAATAGATAAAATTACACTATGTTTATTTTGTTAAATTATATGACATGATTATTGACTCTTATCCAAAATATCCTTCACAATCATATTAAAAATTATATAATTTGTTTTATACATTTTTTTTCTTCTAAATATAGCAATATAATATATAATAATCCATTAAAATTTTAACGGTGATAGCATTGATATGTATATAATTTGATATAATGTTTTTTTTTTTCTTCATATATATTATATATATTTTATTTTATCTTCAAAATTACAAATTGGGTGTTAGCAATATAGTATATCTCATGCTTATCACTTTATATTTTGTTGATTAAGATAAATAAACAAATATATATAAAATTACTTTTGAAATGAATTCAAAATAAATTTTACATGAATATTAAACAAAAATATTATTACTATATTCTTATAAAATAATTCTAATATTTTTTCACAATGATTTTTATCAAATAAATTATTAAAAGGACTTATTTTTCTAACAAAGTTACTTCAACAAACTCATATTACTAAAGTGTAAGTCGTTGATATTTTCATACATTAAAATATGTTTGATACTTACATATATAGTTGATGAATTAACACAAAAATCTGAATCTACTGTGTGCTCGAAAAAGAAGTGAACTGCGCTAATAACCATAAAAAAATTAAATAAATAAATAAAACTACAGAGTAAAGGAAATTAGGGCGAGAAAAAAAAAAGAATAAGGGTAATTTAGTCATTTTATTAAGTTATATTAAAATAATACTAGGGTGTTGGATTAAATTAATAATCTTTTAAATAGGTATTAGTGTATCGGGCCTGAATACATTAAAGTAAACATGATATTAGGTCAGATAAAATAATATTATCGGACATAATCCTTCGAAGTAAACACCCAGTAAATCTAAAATTGAATAACTAAAATATCTCAACATCCCCCTCAAACTCAAGTGGTATGATAGAAATCAACTTGAGTTTGCAGATAGATAGAAGATGACGCAACCACAATCGTTCATCATGCCAGAATAAATGATATTCATAAATTGCATGCGTTAAATATTTATATTATTTGTGATATTTGGTTGATTTTGATTAAATTCTACCTGATTTGGGTATATATCATTTATTTATTATTTGCAGGGAAAAAATAATAAAATTGATATAATTAGTGTGAAAAAAGAACAAAAAGGCCCAAAGCCCAATCGTTACAAAATTAGGGCAATTATAAAGGAACGAAAGAAGGAGTAGGCGCCAGTTTACGCCACTTGCCGAGGAGAACACCGTGCATAACAGTCCCAGGGAGAAACCGTGGAAAGACAAGAAGAAGAAAGATTCTTCCAAGAAGATTTCGAGTTCTACTTCTACCAACATCATTATCAGGTGATGTTTCTCTTTGCTTCCTTTTCCTTTGTTGTTCCTCCTATGATTAGCGAGTAGTTTACTTTTCTAGTATAGAAATGGAAAACAACTTGGTATGGATTTGGGAGATTAGACTTGTGTTGATTTATGATATTTATTTGGTTCCTAAGTATTTATGTAGTTCCTAATTTCTTTGAGTTATAATCTTTTATTTGATTGGATATTGTGGCCAGGTATTTCAATTGGATTAAAGATTAATTGCTTAACTAAATTAGGCATCCGTAATTGCGTTTTAATTTTGTTTAAGTAGCAACTAGTGGCAGACACCATTAGGAAATCATGGAATCAATTTTAAACAATTTCGCATAGTTAATTGTTAAATTGAATTAGGCTCTTCTAGTTCGAAAGCCGGTTAGGCTAGTAAATTCTTTGTGGCGTCACTGGGGTTCTAGGCTAACTAGGGAAGTAGTTGATGGACGTACCTACACTGTCAAGAAATTAAGGAAGAGTTGGTTATTAGGCGCGTGTCGGTAACTATAACTAATTTATTTAGAAACCAATAAAATTAAATATTTATCAATGATCAAATCCACTACCCAAGTTGTCAATTTCATTCCTAGACTGGAAACTAATTTTTATTGAATTTATCTTTTAGTCATAGAGTTTTTAGTTTGTTATTTTATTTTTATTTCCTACTTCTAAAATCCCCCTTTTTATTATATTTATAAATTAAACAATAAAAATAAAACCTTTTTAATTCCCTGAGGAGAGACGACCCTACTTCATCTATACTACGTTATTTTTATTGCAGAAGTAGGTTAATTTTATTTAAATTTTGCAGCGTGTGACAAACGCCTGTCTAACGTGTTACAATTTCAATAAGAGACTCGGAACAACATAAAGAGCTTGGAAGAACAAGTGAGTCAAATAGCGAATGAGATGCGCCAGATGAAATCAAATGAGAAAGGTAAATTTCCTGCATAGCCTGATGCTAATCCGAAGAACGTGAGATTGATGGTTTTACGAAGCGGAAATGAATTAGAAGGACCTAAAATTGAAGCTTCAAAGGACAAGGATGAAGAGGAGATCGAAATAGAGATAGAGAAAGCTGCTCATGAAGAACCACACAAGGTAAGTTCTAAAACGCCTACTTACCCTAAGACTAACACCGACAATATTTTCTTGCAGGTTAGAGAAACCGAGGAAGAGTGATAAAAACAAGGAGATGATGGAGATGTTTAGAAAAGTGGAATTGAGCATACCTTTGTTAGATGCTATCAAACAATTTCCGAAGTATGCCAAATTCTTGAAGGAACTTTGCACGAATAAAAAGAGATTGCGAGCAGATGAGTGCATTATTGCTGGAGAGAGCGTATCTGCTGTTATACAATATAAACTCCCTTCTAAATGTGGCGATCTTGGTATGTTCTCAGTTCCCTGTAAGATAGGTAATTTGGAGATTAAGCGAGCAATGTTAGATTTAGAACCCGTAATTAATGTGATGCCTAAGTCTATTTATAAATCTCTAAATGTTGGGCCATTAAATGAAACTAGGGTTATTATACAACTAGCCGATAGGACTAATGACCTGAAGGAATGATTGAATATGTCCTAGTGAAGGTTAATGAATTTATTGTTCCAATGGATTTTTATGTGCTTGACATGCGTGATGATAACTCTCCAAATCCTTCACAGATATTGCTTGGTAGACCATTTATGTGCATTGTACAAACTAAAATAGATGTCAAGCAGGGTATACTTTCTATGGAGTTTGATGGTGAAAAAGTACAATTTAATATTTCCGATGCTATGAAATACCCTGGAGAATCTAACGTTTTGTATAGCTTGGATGTCTTTTATGAGAACGTGCAGGAAATTCTTGATTTAAGTGGAAAAGACCCTTTGAAGATTGTTCTGGCATACCATCTTGATGCGCAATTCAGTGCAGAAAAATTGATGAATTCACAGCTAAGAGAAGCAATGCACGCACTGCAATCTTCGGAATTCAAGACGACCAGTTTAGAACAAGCAACGTTACCTGTTATTGAATCTAGACAAAAATTGTTGCCCTTTGTTTTGTAGGCTCCAGATCTAAACATGAAGCCACTCCCTGATAAGCTGAAATATGTTTTCCTAGGAGAGAAACAAACATTGCCTGTTATCATATCAGCTTCCCTTTCTCAAATCCAAGAGGAGTGATTGTTTCAGGTGTTGAGAAAGCACAAAGAAGCTCTTGGTTGGACCATAGCTAACATAAAAGACATCAGGCCCTTCCTTTGTACACATCGCATTATGTTGGAGGAGAATGCAAAAGCAGTAAGGAAACCTCAAAGGTGATTGAATCCTGTAATGATGGAAGTGGTGAAGAAAGAGATTTTGAAACTATTGGATTCCGAGATTATTTATGCTATCGCAGATAGCCCAAAGGTAAGTCCGATTCATGTGGTGCTTAAGAAAGCTGGAGTTACGGTTGAGGCTGACAATGATGATGAATTTTGAGGGTACTTTCATATTGCCATAGCACCGGAGGATCAAGAGAAGACGACACTTACATGCCCCTACGGCACTTTTAGCAAATAGGTGGATGCCATTTGGACTATGTAACGCTCCAATGACTTTTCAATGGTGCATGGTAAGTATTTTTTCAGAATAGATCGGTAAGATCATTGAAGTATTCATAGATGATTTTAGTGTGTATGGTGATAATTTTGATGCATGTTTAGATAACTTGGCCTTAGTCTTGCAAAGATGCATTGAAACGATATTGGTTCTTAATTTGGAAAAATGTCAATAAGGCTAAGATAGACACTATTACTACCTTACCTACCCCATTTCGGTGAGGGAATTGCGCTCTTTTCTTCGTCATGCAGGTTTTTATCGACGATTCATCAAGGATTTCTCTAAGGTGGTGAGCCCATTGTTCTTGCTTTTACAAAAGGATATCTTATTTGAGTTTGATGAGAGCTGCAAGCAAGCTTTTGATGAAACAAGAAGCTCCTTACCACAACACCTATCATTCAACCTCCGAATTGGACACTTCCATTCGAGTTGATGTGCAACGCCAGTGACACAACGTAGGGGCAGTTCTTGGACAGGGAGATGGCAAAATTTCTTATGCAATCTACTATGCATCGAAGGTGCTTAATGGAGCCCAATTGAACTATTCAACAACAGAAAAAGAACTCCTTGTTGTGGGTTTTGCATTAGAAAAATTCAGATCTTATTTATTGGGCACTAAAGTAATTGTTTTCTCTGATCATGTAGCACTAAAGTTTTTAATAGGGGAAAAGGATAGCAAACCAAGACTCATTTGATGAGTGCTGCTGTTACAAGAGTTTGACTTAGAAATACACGATAAAAAGGGCTTCAAAAATTGTGTAGCTGATCACCTGAGCCGATTATCGAATACTCAAGGAGATTTGCACTTGAAGGATTATTTCTCCGATGAACAGTTACTTGCAGCAGTCTCTTCGAGTCGCTGGTACGCTGATTTGGTTAATTATTTGGTTACTAATCAATTTCCTACATGATGGTCAAAGGCAAAAAGAGATAAACTCAAAAGCGATGCCAAATACTACTTTTGGGATGACCCTTACCTATGGAGAAGATGCGCCGACCAAGTCATCTGAAGGTGTGTTAATGAAGGTGAATATAATTCTATTTTAAAGTATTGTCACTCCTTGGAATGTGGAGGTCATTTTGGATCGCAACGAACTGCACGTAAGGTACTTGATACTAGATTTTATTGGCCAACTTTGTTTAAGGATGCACATAAATTTTGAAAATCTTGTGATAGATGTCAACGAGTAGGAAATATATCTTCTAAAAATAAAATGCCTCAAGCACCTATGTTGTTTGTTGAGATCTTTGACGTGATGGGCATTGATTTTATGGGTCCGTTTTCTATTTTGTATGGATTTTTATATATTATATTAGCAGTCGATTATGTCTCGAAATGGGTAGAAGCAAAAGCTACCCAAACTAACGATTCTAAATTGGTTGTAGAGTTTCTCAAATCATCCATCTTTTCTCGATTTGGAATGCCAACAGCCGTCGTCAGTGATTGAGGCACACACTTTTGCAACAAAACTATTTCTTCTTTGTTTCGCAGATATGAGATTTTGCATAAAGTGTCGACGTTGTATCATCCTCAAACGAATGGCCAGGTTGAGGTCTCGAATAGGGAAATCAAAGGAACTTTGGAAAAAATGGTGAGATCGGACTGAAAAGATTGGATTTTGCATTTAGAAGATGCTTTGTGGGCATATCGCACGGTATACAAGACACCGATTGGTATGTCTCCTTTTCGATTGGTTTTCGGTAAGTCATGCCACCTCCCGGTTGAAATCGAGCATCGATTTTATTGGGCAATTAAGATGTGGAACATGAATCTTGATGATACGAGAGCCTATAAAAAGTTGCAATTACAAGAGTTGGAGGAAATTCGTAATGAGGCATACGAGAATGCTGCGATTTACAAGGCAAAAAATAAGGCCCTACATGATCAACACATCATGCGAAAAGAATTTTTGATTGGACAGAAAGTCCTACTATATCACTTGCGCTTGAAGCTTTTTCCAGGTAAGCTTCGTTCTCGATGGATGGGTCCATTTTTTGTGACTAATATAGTTTCTTATGGCACAGTGGAGATTCAAAGTTTAGCCACGGATAAAAAATTCATAGTGATGGACATCGACTCAAGCCTTATTATGACGAATTTTCGAATAAGGAGGTGGAATGCATTACCCTCCTCAACTTGGATGATTGAATGGTTTCACTCGACTACGTCTAGCCAAAGACGTTAAAAAATGGCGCTTCTTGGGAAGCAACCCAAGTTTTCTAGGATTATTTCTTTTATTTTCTTTAGTTTTAGTTTTATATTTTTCAAACATCGCCTATTTGAGTTGGATTCTTTATTTTTTGTAAGGAACTTCTTTGAGAATTTTGGAAAAAAGAAAAGCCGTAGTCTTTCTTCTGCTTCTTCCCTGAGCTATCAATTTTGGTGTTGGCTAAAAGAGACGCACAATCAACTTGAAGAAGTTTGGAATCCAAAGCAAAAACATACAGTCGCACCAATTCTACGGACTCCAGGGAAGTTCCTCTCTTATTTTACTTTTTTTTTACATTGAGGACAATTTTTTCTTTAGGTTTTGGGGAGAGAGCAACGCAATTTTTTTGGGCAAATTTTTCATTTTGTGCTACTTTTGATGCCTGATTTGTTGTCATTTCACATGTTTTTTTGAGATTTTTCTAAAGTGAGTCAAAGGTGGTTTGAGTGATAGGTTAGTCTGACATCATTGATGGGATTAGATTTGAAATATGTTGAGCCAAGTTGACATTTTAACGCTGTGAGAATTCGAGTATATATTCCAAAAAGCTTACATTAGAAAATAAACTATATATTATCAAGTTTTTGGAAATTCTTTCTTGTTTGATTTGTAGTGCTCAATTAGATGACCTAGAACTTGAATGATTATGCATGTTGAACTTGCAACTATCAAGTCTTGCATTTTGAAAATGATAAGGGCATTAGGTAACCCATTGAGTCTTTCTTTATCACCCAGCACAATATATTTCCACTAGTTAGCCCATTTGAGACTTTTTAGCCTATTTTTCTTCTATATTAAACCGTCTTTTAGCCTCATACCCTTCTTTTGATATTAAGCCTTCTCTGATTTGAACCCTATGTTAGAAAAATTACCTTAAGTTCACGTTGTGATGCACCTTATTTGTTCGGCACCGGTTAGAAACGAAGTTTGAGTATAAATAAATAATGCATTCAGAAGTGTTTGCTTTAATGAGATTGGGTAGTGAAAGGCGTATATATATATATTTAAAAAAAATCTTGATAAAGTATTATTGATATAATTATGTTATTAAAGTTTGGGCAGTGAATAAAGTAAGGGTTTCATTGTTTATGCCAAACTGTTTTTCATATGGTAGCATCGTGCTCTTATTGTGTTCTTTTTTAACATATTTTAGCTTTCGCATATCCTTTTTTCTACCCCTAACCATCAGCCCCGTTACAACCTTTATAAAAAAGTCCCTTTGATTCTTGATGTTAGATTTGCGTATCTTAAGCAAGGGAGATTTGATTTTCATTCAAGTCTATGGGATAATCTTTTATCGCACTACTTGAGCGTTAGCTGATTATATACACTTATTTCTTTCAGAGAGCAAGTGCGCATACACTTTATCCTGAGAAGTTGACTTGACTTGATATGTTGAATTTCCGATTTATTTGGTTGAGTTAGATTTTCTTGTCATATTGAGTCGCCTGCGATTTCTTTTGGCATGTTTCAAATTTATGCTTGAGGGCAAGCATGATCTAGGTGTTGGGAGATTTGATTGACATAAATCGCATGCGTTAAATATTTATATTATTTGCGATATTTGATTGATTTTGATTAGATTCTACCTGATTTGGGTATATATTATTTATTTATAATTTGCAGGGGAAAAATAATAAAATTGATATAATTAGTGGGACAAGAGAACAAAAAGGCCCAAAGCCCAATCGTTACAAAATTAGGCAATTATAAAGGAAAGAAAGAAGGATGAGGCGCCATTTTATGCCACTTGCTGAGGAGAACACCGTGCATAATAGTCCCAGGGAGAAATCGTGCAAAGGCAAGACTGAGAAAAATTCTTCCAGTAAGATTTCGAGTTCTACTCCTACCAACATCATTATCAGGTGATGTTTCTCTTTACTTCCTTTTCCTTTGTTGTTCCTCCTATGATTAGCGAATAGTTTACTTTTCTAGTTTAGGAGTGGAAAACAACTTGGTATGGATTTGAGAGATTAGACTTGTTTTGATTTATGATATTTATTTGGTTCTTAAGTATTTCTGTGCTTTCTGATTTCTTTGAGTTATATTATTTTATTTGGTTGGGTATTATGGCCAGGTATTTCAATTGGATTAAAGATTAATTGCTAAACAAAATTAGGCGTCCATAATTGCGTTTTAATTTGGTTTAAGTAGCAACTAGTGGCAAACACCTTTAGGAAATCCCGGAATCAATTTTAAACAATTTCGCATAGTTAATTGTTAAATTAAATTAGGCTCTTCGAGTTCACAAGCTGGTTAGGCTAGTAAATTCTTTGTGCCGTTACTAGGGTTCTAGTCTAACTAGGGAAGCAGTTGACGAACGTACATAGACTGTCAAGAAATTAAGGAAGAGTTGGTTATTAGGCGCGTGTCGGTAGCTATAACTAATTTATTTAGAAACCAATAAAATTAAATATTTATCGATGATCAAATCCACTACCCAAGTTGTCAATTTCATTCCTAGACTGGAAACTTAATTTTATTGAATTTATCTTTAGTCGTAGAGTTTTTTGTTTGTTATTTTATTTTTATTTCCTGCTTCCAAAATACCCCCTTTTTATTATATTTATAAATTAAACAATCAAAATAAAAATTTTTTAATTCCCTGAGGAGACGACCCTACTTCATCTATACTATATTATTTTTATTGCAGAAGTAGGTATATTTTATTTAAATTTTGCAGCATGTGACAAACGTCTGTCAAACGTGTTACAATTTCAACAAGAGACTCGGAACAACATAAAGAGCTTGGAAGAACAAGTGAGTCAAATAGCGAATGAGATGCGCGAGATGAAATCAAATGAGAAAGGTAAATTTCCTGCATAGCCTGATGCTAATCCGAAGAACGTGAGCTCGATGGTTTTACGAAGCGGAAATGAATTAGAAGGACCTAAAATTGAAGCTTCAAAGGACAAGGATGAAGAGGAGATCGAAAGAGAGATAGAGAAAGCTGCTCATGAAGAACCAAACAAGGTAACTTCTGAAACGCCTACTTACCCTAAGACTAGCCCAACACCATTTCCTTGCAGTTTAGAGAAACCGAGGAAGAGTGATAAAAATAAGGAGATGGTGGAGATGTTTAGAAAATTGGGATTGAGCATACCTTTGTTGGATGTTATCAAGCAAGTTCCGAAGTATGCCGAATTCTTGAGGAACTTTGCACGAATAAAAAGAGATTGTAAGGAGATGAGTGCATTATTGCTGCCGAGAGTGTATCTGCTGTTATACAACATAAAATCCCTCCTAACTGTGGCGATCCAAGTACGTTCTTGGCTCCTTGTAAGATAGGTAATTTAGAGATTAAGCGAGCAAAGTTAGATTTAGGACCCGCAATTAATGTGATCCTTAACTCTATTAATAAATCTCTAAATGGTGGGCCATTAAAAGAAACTAGGATTATTATAAAACTAGCTGATAGGACTAATGCTTAACCTGAAGGAATGATTGAAGATGTCCTAGTGCAGGCTAATGAATTAATTGTTCCTGTGGATTTTTATGTGCTTGACATGCGTGATGATAACTCTCCAAATCCTTCACAGATATTGCTTGGTAGACCATTTATGTGCATTGTACAAACTAAAATAGATGTCAAGCAGGGTATACTTTCTATGGAGTTTGATGGTGAAAAAGTACAATTTAATATTTCCGATGCTATGAAATACCCTGGAGAATCTAACGTTTTGTATAGCTTGGATGTTTTTTATGAGATCGTGCAAGAAATTCTTACTGCAAGTGGAAAAGACCCTTTGGAGATTGTTCTGCATACTATCTTGATGCGCAATTCAGTGCAGAAAAATTGATGAATTCACAACTAAGAGAAGTAATACATGCACTGCAATCTTCGGAATTCAAGACGACCAGGTTAGAACAAGCAACGTTACCTTTAACTGAATCTAAACAAAATTTGTTGCCTTTGTTTTGTCGGCTCCAGATCTAGAGATGAAGCCACTCCCTCATAAGCTGAAATATGTTTTCCTAGGAGAGAAACAAACCTTGCCTGTTATCATATCCGCTTCCCTTTCTTAAATCCAAGATGAGCGATTGATTCGGGTGTTGAGAAAGCACAAAGAACCTATTGGTTGGACCATAGTTGAGATAAAAGGCATCAGCCCCTTCCTTTGCACAGATCGCATTATGTTGGAGGAGAATGCAAAAGCAGTAAGAAAACCTCAAAGGCGATTGAATCCTGTGATGATGGAAGTGGTGAAGAAAGAGATTTTGAAACTATTGGATTCCAACATTATTTATGCTATCGTAGATAGTCCATGGGTAAGTCCGATTCATGTGGTGCCTAAGAAAGCAAGATTTACGGTTGAGGCTGACAATGATGATGAATTTTGAGGGTACTTCATATTTCCATAGCACCGGAGGATCAAGAGAAGACGACACTTACATGCCCCTATGGCACTTTTAGCAAATAGGTGGATGCCATTTGGACTATGTAACGCTCCAATGACTTTTCAACGGTGCATGGTAAGTATTTTTTTAGAATATATCGGTAAGATCATTGAAGTATTCATAGATGATTTTAGTGTGTATGGTGATAATTTTGATGCATGTTTAGATAACTTGGCCTTAGTCTTGCAAAGATGCATTGAAACGATATTGATTCTTAATTGGGAAAATTATCGGTTTATGGTTGAAGATGGAATTGTTCTAGGTTACTTGGTCTCTTCAAGAGGAATAGAGGTTGACAAGGCTAAGATAGACACTATTACTACCTTACCCTATCCCATTTCAGTGAGGGAATTGCGCTCTTTTCTTGGTCATGCAGGTTTTTATCGATGATTCATCAAGGATTTCTTTAAGGTGGCGAGCCCATTGTTCTTGCTTTTAGAAAAGGATATCTTATTTAAGTTTGATGAGAGCTGCAAGCAAGCTTTTGATCGAAACAAGAAGCTCCTTACCACGAATCCAACCGTTGCTCAGTAGATCCTCTACTTGCTTTTGTATTTATTATACCTTATCCGGGTTGGCTCGATAGGCTGGCCGATTAGGAATTGATGCTCCCGGGACAAAATCAATTTAGTGCTCAATTCCACGAGTGGGTGGTAAACCATGGGGTACTTCATCAGGAAAAACATCATCATATGCCTGGAATAAGTTAGAAAAACTCGATGGAAGTTTGTTAGAGACATTCATGGAAAAATAAGTAGGTTTAGAAAATAATAGCAAACAATGAACTCCATGTTCTAAGCGTAAAGCTTCCTTCCTACGCATAAAAAGATTAGACCTCTTACTCTCGTGTTTAAGATTCCAGCTGGTTTCACCCTAAATCACTATACTCGTGTTTGATTTTTGAGTAGAAGGGTAGAGTATTTGAGAGTGACTCGAGGCAGATGTATTTATTGGTGAGGATGAAGATTTGAGAGGTTGTGGGGTAGTTAGGCTATATGAAAGAGTAGATGCACTTGTATGCGGAGTACCTTTTGTTGCGGGTGATTCTAAGGAGGACTTCAAATTGGATTCCTCACATTGAGTTGATTCAACGACATAGCCCACCATATTTTTGTCTATCTTTTGGTTCCTTTTCTCTCTTGATTCTAAGTATTTTTGTTTTTTATTTACTTCTCGAGGGCTCAATGGCTTTAGATTTATGGTCCATCCGGCATGTGTGAAAGTATATCGATTACGGCGGCCATCATGTACAACTTCTTTGTCAAATTGCCATGGTCTCCCAAGCAAAATATGACATGCTTGCATTGGAACTACATCGCATTTTACCTCATCCTTGTAACCTTGTAGCTCAATTCCCACCAACATTTGTTTGGTGACGTTGATTTCCCCACAATTATTGAGCCACTGTAGTTTGTAAGGCCTCGGGTACAAATTCATCGTCAAATTAAGTCTTTTCACTACGAGGTCACTAATGACATTAGTACAACTACCACCGTCAATGATAAGACTACATACCTTAGTCGCGATCTTACACATTCCATGGAATAAATTTTCGCGTTGTTTGGTATCTTCAACCTCCATTGGAGGGGTGCTAAGAGCTCGGAGAGTGACTAACGTCAAATTGGACTCTGGTATGGATTCTACAGCTTCATGGTCATAGGAATTTGCCTCATTGACCTCTTCAGTTTCTGATTCGGATTCGTACTCACCAGAGGTCGTAAGAACCATAGTACGCCTGTTTGGACATTGATTCGCAAAATGTCCTCGGCCTTGGCATTTGAAATATAAAAAATCTCGGCTACGGGTGGTGTTCTTTGGGGTATTTTCTGGCGGCTTAGGGCGCGTCGAATCAACTCCCGCTGCTACCTATTTTCCTTTGTTGATATGTTGTGGAAGTGGCGCTTTAGGCAACCCTACGATTGGAGAGAGTTTAAACGGATTACCTTGCATCCGCTTTGATTTTAGTTGTTTCTCCACCTTTATGGCCAAGTGTACCATCTCCTCGAGGTCCACGTATTGGTACATCTTTACCACATCAGCAATATCCCTTTGAAGCCCATTCGAGAATCTAGAGATCATTTGCTCCTGATCTTCATGGATATCGGCTTGTAGAATAAGTATTTCAAGCTCTTTATAGTATTCCTCCACTGACCGCGACCCTTGCTGTATACTCTGCAATCTCCGCAATACTTCACAATGGTAATGAGGGGGAACAAACCTCTTTCGCATGAGTGTACGAAGTTCTGTCCAAGTACGCACTGGAGCCTCCCTATTTCTGCGGCGGTTGATGCTCAATTGGTCTCACCATGCAAGCGCATAATCTGAAAACTCCATTACGGCTACACGGAGTTTTTGGTCGTCAGTTAATTGTTGAACATCAAAGATTAGTTCAACCTTCTTTCCCATTGCAAAAATACTTCAGGGTCGGATTTTCCTTGGAACGGTGGCACTTGGAACTTGATCAAGTTGATAGCCTCATCTCCATCCCGTCGGTGATAGTTATTCTGATGCCTAGGTCATTCCCAATTTCCTTCAAACTCCTCATCATCGCGTTCGTCAATGTTGTGTGGTGGTGGGGGCTGGATGTTGCATCTTGGCCTCAAATCCGGTTGAACATCATTTCGCCTCTGAGCTTCAGGTAACGGTCGGATATTCTCTTGTAACTTTTGTTGATTCTCTTCCAATTGATCCATCATATTATTCATCAACTCCAATCCATAATGGTGAAGAGTTTTGAACTCTTGTAGAATGGTATTGAGAAGACCTTCTGCATCAACTTGTTGAGAATTGGATCCTTCACCTCCTGCCATTAGAAAAAAGAAAAAAGAAAAAATAAAATAAAATAACCTCACTAGAACTCTCGTGTATCACTCCACACGTTATGTACGTCTCCGTCTCGCAAAAAGGACTCAAATCAAATCGATGGAATTCTCCCAATGACGATACCCAAAACATCCAAAACAGTAGTGAAAACAAAAGAAATATAAGTTCATAATGAAGGTAGAAGACAAATAATCTCAATAGATTTTTTTTTTTTTTGATAAAAGAAAAGATGATTCGAGAACTAGAAGTAAATAACAAATATCTTGATATTTGATAATAACTTTTTTTTAAAATTTTTTTTGCCTCTTTTTTTTGTTTGTTTTTTTGCTCTTTTTTTTCGACTTTTTTGTTTTGCTATTTTTTTTTTCAAATAAGAACCGTGATATCAATCAAGAGATTGTATCAACTAGCTCTGATACCAGATGACACGGCCTGACCGTGTATACTTATAACTAATATAATTTTCTTACCGACAAAGTTCAATAGAACAAATGGATTAAGAATAAGAATAAAAGAAAAGAGAAGGAAGAGGAAAAGATAGTGCAGAGAATGTGAATTAGTATGGATGATAACCAACAATGAGAATAAGTCATCTGAAATCAATCCATAGGTAAAACACAAACAATAGGCTAAATCCCGTTGCAAAGGATTGGAAGCCACGAACCGATGGAATCACTCCAAAGACCCGATTTGAGACTCTAAATGCGAGGAAATCACTCCCTAACACTAGAAATCTATAAAAGTGAAATTCTATTCAAGATACAAAAAAAAAAGGTTCCCATTACAATGATGGACAAATACCTTATATAGAGGTCCTTGAGGAAAATAAAAGGCAACAAATAATAAAGGAAACAAACCAAAAGGTAAGTCTAACTATAAGTAAATAATTAGGAAAGTTTTAGATATGGAATTGTATTATATGAAAACTTATAATAACAGAAAATATATATTAAGGTAACTTCTAGAAGCCTCTATAAGTGATGATTCCATTGATAATCTTCCATGATTAGCGATTCTCTCCATAAGTAATGATTTCCTTGATATACTTCCATGATTAGTGATTCTCTCCATAAGTGATGATTCCCTTGATAATCTTCCACGATTAGCGATTCTCTCCATAAGTGATGATTCCTTTGATAATCTTTCATGATTAGCGATTCTCTTAATCTTTCAATTGGGATTCTTGCGGGTCCCATTGAAGGAGTGTCAGGTAAGGACTAAAGGGTCTCCAAGCATCATCCTTAAATTGATTCTCTATAAAAAATCGTCCGATCAATGCAGTGACAAATTTTTGAAACTGATGAGCTTGGCTTCGAGTGATGGGTCCCACGGGTATTTGAATGCTTGAAGATTGGACGTCCTCGTCACGGGCGTACCTAGACTGTCAAGAAATTAAGGAAGAGTTGGTTATTAGGTGTGTGTCGGTAACTATAACTAATTTATTTATAAACCAATAAAATTAAATATTTATCGATGATCAAATCCACTACCCAAGTTGTCAATTTTATTCGTAGATTGGAAACTTATTTTTAATAAATTTATCTTTTAGTCGTAGAGTTTTTAGTTTGTTATTTTATTT